TTGCCTTGCTTCTGATCTTAGAGGACAAAGAAAAGCCCCAGGACCAGACGGCTTCAGTGGAGAATTCTACCAAACTTTTAAAAAAAGAATTAACACCACTCCTCCTGAAACCCCAATATCAAAACTAAATAAGACATACAAACACAAAAAAATTACAAACCAATAAATATTTCTGATAAACTTTCATGCAAAATTCATCTACAAAATACTAGAAACTGAATGCAACTGCTCATTGAAAGGTTTATATACCACAACCAAGTGGAATTTACTCCTAGAATGTAAGATGCTCAACGTGAATATACATTAATAAAAAATAAAGTCAAAAGCCACATGATCATCTCAGTTGGTTCAGAATAAATATTTGAACACATTCAAACCTTTCATCATAAAACATGTAATATATTGGGCCGGCCTGGTGGCGCACTGCGCTAGTGCGCCGCTTGGGAAGCACGGCAGCGCTCCCGCTGAGGGTTCGGATCCCACATGCAGACCGGTTCCAGCTCACTGGCTGAGCGAGGCGCGGGGGCAACACCGAGGGTTGCGATCCTGTTGCCGGTCCCGGTCCGGTACGGGGGCGACACTGAGGGTTGCGATCCGTTGCCGGACACGGAAAAAGCCAAAAAAAAAAACCAAAAAAAAAACATGTAATATATTGGTTCTAGGAGGAGCTACCTGACATGATAAAGGCCATATTTTAAGAAGTCCACACCCAATATACTAAATAATGAAAGACTCAAAGTGTTTCCTGTAATGTCAGGAGCAAGGCAAGGATATTACTAAATGAAAGAAGTCATTACAAAAAGACAAAACACTGTAATAGCTCTCCTTATATATCTAAAGTAGTCAAATGAAGAAACAAAAAGTAGATTTTGATGGTTACCAGGGCCTTGTGGGGGAGAAAAAAAGGAAAACTGTTAAATGAGTATAGACATTCAAACTTGCAAGATGAGAAATGTTCACAACAATTTGAACGTACTTAACACTTCTGAACTATACACTTCAAAATGGTTAAAATAATAATTTTTTTTTTACTACAGTAAACTGTCCAACCAGCAAACCAACCACTTTACTTAGAGCGTCTAGAGTGGGCACACATTTTTGTATTTCTAACAAGTTTCCATATAATGCTGATGCTGGCAGTTCCTGGCCCATACTACAAAAACTCACTACTCTGAAATACAATGTGTTAGATAATAATGGGTAAGATAATAATGATTTCTTTTTTAAAACACAAATCCTAGTATTTGCAAAAAATAAATCTATTGGGGCCGGCCCGGTGGCGCACTGGATGGTGTGCCGCTTGGGAAGCACGGCGGCGCTCCCGCCCGAGGGTTCGGATCCCACATACATCACTGGCTGAGCGAGGCGTGGGAGCAACACCGAGGGTTGCAATCCCGTTGCCGGTCCCCGGTCCGGTACGGGGGCAATTGGTGCACTGGATAAGTGTGCCGCTTGGGAAGCGCGGCGGCGCTCCCACCCGAGGGTTCGGATCCCACATACATCACTGGCTGAGCGAGGCGTGGGAGCAACACCGAGGGTTGCAATCCCGTTGCCGGTCCCCGGTCCGGTACGGGGGCAATACTGAGGGTTGCGATCCGTTGCCGGACACAGAAAAAGACAAAAGACAAAAAAAATTTAAAAATTAAATAAATAAATAAATAAATAAATCTATTAAATTGAAATTGCCAAGAGAACCAGCATTAAATTACTGTAATCTCAACCACAGGCCTGACTGGGTGTGTCGTTGGATGTTGTAACACAACTAAGTTATTCAGTTAACTAAGTTATCCATTGTCGTGTGCGACTTATGGCTCTGTTTAGTTACATTTAACATATTCTCTTAATATTTAACTCAAGATTGAAGTATTTACTATTTGAACTTCTATACAAATACGTGACTCCACAGAGCTGAAGAACTGCAGAACCTTCATTTTTAGAATCAAAGATGTTTTGAAACTACATAGAGGTGGTTATGAATTTCTAACAAAAATTTTACCCCAACAAAAATCAGTGTCTCTTTGTTGTTTTGATTATTGGTTAACTTTTACCTAGCTTCAGATTTGTCTGACAATCCCATCCTATAGTATATTAGTGTCTATTACCCTCCAAACTAAGCACACAGGAGTACAAAAATGGGTAACTCTAGGGCAGTCTGCTGTGGTGATCGTAACCACCACCACCACTCCTTAAACATGCTGTGAATCTAAACTTTAAATGCTCTCAAAATCCACAATATGCAAGGGAAATTTATCTCAGGGTTGGTAATGCTAAAGAATATTCACAATCTTTTGAGAAGATAATGAATTAAAAAATAGGGAAATAAAAATTGTCCACTATGTTTTATGCTTATTAGAATTTTTAAAAACCTGCACATTTTTTTTCTTAAAAAAAAAGTGTTAACTTAGTACTGGTATCAAACACACTCAACATTGATTAACAAGAAAATAATCTTATTTTTATTTTTGCATGTTATTCTCAAGTACACATTTACAATAGTGTCACATTTCCCTATATGAATTTCTTATTGAGTATTTTACAATGTGTACAGAGCAAAGAACGTACAATAGGCTATTTTCACAAAACAATAACTTATGTCCTTGTAAGGATCTGTACATAACTTATGTCCTTATAAGAATCTGTACCTGTTTTAACTAAACTCTTTAACTTTTAATTAAAATATCCACTTTTTAGCTTTGCTAGTCAAATTAAGAATTAAAATCAGCCTATAACTAATAACAGTATATAACAGTAAGCACAATTTATATTTCTTTATACAAATATATTTCTCATATTCACTTAACCAAACCCTTAATTACCATTTAAAGGTTTTAACATTATGCTTAAAAAATGGAACAAAACAAAACTGTGTATGACTCCAGACTATGTGAGAAATATGATGTACAGTGTTGTGTTCGTTATCTTTGTTTATTTTTAAACATAAATAGCTAACTATCTGTGTTAATTTTACAGAATGTTTCAAAATTCCTAAATTTAAAATTTCATTTAAATTATTTCCACTTATATTACTTCAGGAAAAAACCAAATTCAAAGGAGATTTGAAAGATTCTCACACACACCAAAAACAGTTTTCAAGAACAGGATAATGGATGACATTAAAAATAGGGTGGGGATGTGTATCAGGGATAAGAAAGCATAAAAGGTTTCAAAATCTATTCCATGGCTTTTGTTGGCTTTAGTTTTAAACTCCTTATGTGCCTAAAGCACTTGAGAACTAGTCTAAATCTAGCATTTCAAAGGCTGTCAAACAACAAATATTTAGATTTCTAAACCCATGTATATAACTTCTGAATAACAAGTTATCAGTGGCACAGAGAAAGGTGAAAGCTAAAGACTTCACAGCAAAAGTGGAATGAAGCCCCATAATAAAGTTAGAAGGTTAACTATCAAATGAGAAAAAAAATTCTAATTTCCCATGACATGCCAGACATACACGTGCCAGTAGCCTAAACATTAAAGTGCCTAAAAATGTTTTGTTCTCCAAAATTCATATTAACCAAATTATAATTAACTGTTTGAATTTGTTTTATATTGTGTCTTTATGTATGACTCACTAACTGCTTAAAATACTTCAAGTCTCTAAAAACAAACAAAAAAACCAAAAAAACATTAAAGTACCTAAAAATGTTTTCTGTTCTCCAAAATTCATATTAACCAAATTATAATTAACTGTTTGAATTTGTTTGATATTGTGTCTTTATGTATGACTCACTAACTGCTTAAAATACTTCAAGTCTCTAAAAACAAACAAAAAACCAAAAAAAACCCCACCACTACAAAAACTGAAGAGTTTACGATATTCTGCATAAGGCCACAGACTTTCATCTTAAAACATACTTTTATCTTCTAAAAGATATTTTATCTTCTGTGGCCAACTTGAGTATAAAGTCTACCAAAGTTTGCTAACCATCTAAGAAATAAAAAAGCAGGCTGAACTTGTCAAGTCAGTCATACTTAGAATTCACTCTGTTACAAGGAGCCATTATTTCCCTTTTGAGCTCCTTACACTGAGAGAGAGAATTCTCTCACAGGACTTTCAGAGTTAACTCTAGATTAGCATTCCAGAAAAACTTAAGGTATGAAGTTCAAATTGTATGAAAATCTGATATCTAGAAATACCTTAACTTCCATTTTTCAATTACCAGAGAAACTTAAAGAAAAATACGTTTAGTCTAATGTCCTTATTTTCCTTCTAATTCTTCAGATGAATTTCAGTTTTTTTGAATAGCAGGTTGACAAAGTCCTTTAATGCATCCTTGGATTTTTCTGTTTATTGTGAATTTAATAGTTTTCATCAAAGATTTAAAATATGGGATTGTGTGTATAAATATGTAATATGCAACACAGATGTACCAAGTTGCAAAAAATCCTAGGAGCCACTATTTACCTCTAAAGAATTCCAAATTCAATCTGTGGTAAGTCTCATTTGAAGAACATAGTTTTTCTAAGACAAAGCAGTACAGACAGAAGAATAAAAAACAAAATTAAGTAAGAATTTTCAACATTATTTTCTAAAAGTTTGCTATGTTGACAAAAGATGTAAATACTACAAAGAAAACAAAGCAAGCATATTTTGTCTGCTACAAAAAAGAAAAATCACAAAGTTAGTCAATGTTCTATATTCAGAAATTCTAGAGGCTCACACACAAGTTTCACTGTCATGTAATCTGAAAATGACTTTCATATTATGGTATTAGACCTCATAGTAAAATCTCCCATTTATATTAGCATATACCATAAAAATTTTGTTTCAGAAAAAATGGATCAAAATGATTACTTTTAGAATTACCAATCTTAAGTTATTCTGCCTTAGAGAGTACCATCAAGATGAATAAAGTAAATAAATAAATAGTAAAGCTCCTAAGACTGAAAATTCAGTATAGAATCAGGGATTACTCTACCAAAAGCAACTTGATTGTCGCCACTTCTCATTTATTAAACAAACTGAACAGGATCCAGAACACTGCATTGAATGTAAAGAAAAATCAACTAGAAGTATAATCCTATTTGTATACAGCATAATTCAATGTACAATACTGTATGTGAACAAGACAGATTTGCTGTAAAATGAATTTCCTTGCTTCAAGGCCAAAATTTTTAGAAAAGTCTGTAGACATATTGCTAGGGCAAGCTAACTTCTTTATGATGTCGCATTATGTGCTGGTTCTTTTCTGAAGGTCTTCGGAACCCTTTCTTGCAGTAGTCACACCGGTGAGGATAGTCTTTCGTATGAATGGAAATAACGTGCCTTTTGAACCCTGAGGCATCTGTAGTGCTATACTCACAGTACTCACATTGATACACTTTCCTGCCACTGTGTGTCTTCATATGCTTCTTAAGCTCATTCTGTTGTCTAAATCCCCTTCCACATCTTTTACACCTAAATGGAAGATCCTTCGTGTGAACTGAGAGAATATGGCGACTCAGAACAAATGGATCTGCAATCTTAAAGTCACAATGTCTGCACTGGTGCATTTTTTTACCCTTGTGGGCAGCCACATGTTTCTTGAGTTCTGAAGGTCTGTGAAAGCCTTTATCACACATGTCACACTTATGGGGGTAGTCCTTTGTGTGAACTGAAATTATGTGTCGCTTCAAATCACTTGAGTTTGAACTCTTGTGTTCACAATGCAAACACTGGTGTGTTTTGCTTTCTTGGTGGATAAGAGCATGTTGCTGCATTTCTTTGGTATCTGAGAAAGTTAGAAGACAAAGGTCACACTTGAATGGCATATCCTTACTATGCTTAGTTTTTACATGTGTTTTTAAGTTAGAAGAGTCTGCAGACCTATATTCGCAGTACTGGCATTGGTACGGCTTCTCCCCAGTATGGATTCGCATATGCTTTTTGAGCTCTGATGGGTGACGAAAACCTTTACCGCACTCCACACAAATATGAGGAAAGTTTTTGCTGTGGACTGCCAAAAGGTGGCGATTCAGTAACCCTTGTTCAGCTGTCTGGTATTCACAGAATTTACACTTGTGCATTTTGTTGACTCCTTTTTCCTTATGCACCATTTTGTGAGTAAACAAAGCCCCAGTGTGAGAGAAATGCTTCCCACGCTCATCACATTCGATGGCCTTCTCTGCCTTGCTGGTCAGCTTGTGGCTCTCCAGGTGGTTGTGTAAGCTTATCTTCTTGTTGGTAGTATAATCACAGTCAGTACAGCGGTACTTCTTGCTAAGGTGTTCAGGATGGTTTTTCATGTGCCTTTTCAAAAAACCTCTCGACTTAAACTTCTTCCCACAAATCATGCAAGGGTAAACAGTCAAAGGATGTCCATCAGGGCCAATAATTATTGCTAAGAAAGGAAAAGAAAGTAACATAAGTGATCAAAACAAGTTCTGCTTTGATTTCTTCAAGAATTTACAGTGTCTACCAGGTGGATGGGGGGGGAAATTTTTTAATTATGTGTATTCTAAATATTATAGGGTAAATACTCCTGTTATTAAAATTCCTTTTAATGCTTTTACTGCTATAAGAGATACAGCAATCTAGTTATAAAGATAACCTTGTCTGGTTTGGTATGACTGTATCAATCTCCCTTCAGTGAAAAAAAAAAACCAAAAAAACCCCTCAAATAGTGATGAAGCTACGTCTATTTAGAAATCTGTAGAAACTCAATTATAAAAATAAAGTTCAACATTTTGTCTTTCATTATTCCAAACCAAATTTTTGCTAACTTACAGTAAAGATTAATCATACCTATACAAAAAATTTAATATGAAAACCAGTATACAAAACAGTATTAAAAAAAAAAAGTCCTGTGAGCAAATGAAGCACTTGTCCTACTCCTCTGTAAATTATATCTACTTTATGCTGACATAATTAGATTCTTTATATTTGTCCATTTAAAGTTAACTAACATATTTTAGGGATTTATATTCATTTCCACTAAAAATCACCTGAGATTTTTTTTCTTGAACATCTGATCCACAATCTATTTCTTTTTTATCAAAAGAAATCATTCATGAATATCACTGAATTCTGAAAACAGTATTTTCAAATTCAATACACAAAAGCTACATGTGGTCTAGCAGCTAAAATGCCATTGTGACACCTCTGTGGATACACACTAGAGTTTTATCTGAGAGCTCACAGAGCACGCTGTGCTGTGTAACTCGTGCGCCCTCACCTGTTTGGTACTGCCTGGAATCAGTTCTTCTCCTTTTCTTTGGTTTTTGTTTAGCCAGTCTGCCGAGGCCAGCAGACTCATCTATGTGCAAGAGGGCACTTGCAGTGCCATTCCGGTTTTCAATTCCATCAGAATTATTACCTAACAATGTGCATTAAAAAAGAAAATTATACAGTATTATAAATTATAAAGAATTATGATTTCTTTTATTAACTAAAACAATGAAAAAAGTAAGCCATGATACTCATGAATGACAGAAATTCCCTATTTTAAATGGACTTTATGGGCTTGCTTACAGTAGCAAAACCACAGGAAATGCCTAACTTCCAAACCTAGCAGCATTTTGCCTTATGGATTTCCTTGCTGTCATAAGCTAGATATAAATAATCAAAATTTTAAAAGTCAGCTTCAAAGGCTTACATAATCTAGGCATGAAAGAAATTCATATTAAAATTAAAGACAAGAGGTTGACTACATAATCTTTCTCTACTTTTGCTTAATCATCATACTTGGTTACATCATATTTCTGAATCCCTAAGACCACTGAACCATTTTTCAATAATAAATTGATGTTCAAGACCACTCAGTCCTTTATGCTACTACGTGACTTACCATAAGCTGCTGCCCATGCTATTGGCATGAAGGTTTTCATTTCACTGTCATCCATTTGTTGTTCATGCACAGCAGCAGTTGCTGCTGCTGCAACAGCATCTTCCTCTCCTACGATTACTTCCATGTAAACTTCATCAGTGATTTCAGCAACATCTAAGTACAAAATTAATAAAAACTTTTGTGGCCATGTTTACAGAGATCACAGAGAAAAAGTGCATTAGCAGTAAACACAGAAATACTAAATAAACACTGACTGAATAAATCATTCATTCCTTGGCTTTCACCATAATTTAGTTTTAAATGCAGCACAATAATCTCTACAATATTATTGTTTATTTCCTTCAAATGATATTGCTTGCATTAAAAAAAAAAAGCTTAAAGAAAAATAAAATTATTTCCCAAGAAAGGCCACCTACTCAAATCTTCATCTTCTTGCTGAGAGTCATTGACAGTCATATAAACCATCTTTTCCCTGGGAACACGAATACTGCTGTTCTGATCATGTAGTCCAACTTCATGATCATTCTCAGGCTCACTCTCCACAATGTCTACAGTTCCACCTATCAGGAAAGAGGACAGCTCCAAGAATTTATTTGAAACTTTGTTTCTACCTATTTCACTTATCACCTTTTACAATATTTTTATATTCCCACATTAGAAATACACCTGAAAAGTTATTTTCATTAAAGATTTCAACATTCCAATCTAAATAATTTAAATACTCCAAATTTTTTTAAAAATCTGCATTTCTAAAAATATAACCAGGGTGAAGAACTTGGAACAAGATGTTTGAAATACTGAAGGCTTCCTCTTACCTAAGTCTTCCTCTCCATGGTCAGCTTTAAAAATGTACACCTTGATGACTTCAGGGCCAGTGCTGTCCACTTTACAGGGATCAATTTCCAACTGTGCATCCTCTGTCACTCCAGAGGAACCATCGTGTTCTATTTTGCCAGCATCATCTACTGCAAAGACAGATAATATGTCATAAGCAGTAACAGCAGATATTTAAATTAAATGTTGCTAAAAGTCATTTTTATAAATGTAATCTGTAAACTGAATCACATAAAACTGAATGATTTCATCTACACAAATAGAAGATACCATAAGTATACTTCAAATACTTCTCAGAGTAAAATATTAAAGTTAAAAAAATGCCTGGAACCCTCAAAAACCTAACAAAAGTAGTAAAAGTACATAATCTTAGTTTATCCATAAGGTAAAAGCATTATTATACCGTAATACAGGTATCCCTAGTACAGTCCTGAATAATGTAAGAAAATAATCTAAGTGATTCATTTTCAGAAAGGGGTTGCTGAATAGATAAAGTTCTCCTTCAGATGATAATAAGTTACCAGCCCTTAATTGTTTAATTCAAATGGATAAAGTTGTCCTTGAGATGGCAATGAGTTAATAGCCCTTTATTGTTCTCTTCATTTCCTAATGTTTCTCCTTTCACAGGGTTTCTGGTGGGCCTTTTTCTCGGGCTTGTCCTGAGCCCTCAAAGAAATTTCCTACAAGGGAGTAGTAAGTTGGGATACTTTTAGACATCCGGGAAAACTGTGCACCCCATAGTTCTCTCAGCAAATGAGGAGGCAGGAGCAGGGCTCACAAGGAATAAATTACTTGCTACATCCCTTTTCCGAATGCCTGCCCGTCAAGACACCAAACCTTGCAAGGCCATAATTAAAATCCTGCTTTGCTGTACCTCATGTCTCCATGTCTATCCTTTGGCCTTGGATGGGTGAGGGTGTTTCTCACAATTAAAATAAATATTAAAATATAATCCCTCTATAATGTACATTATACATGGCTTATAGCAATCCACCATTCACCGCTATCTTTTGTTTAATAGAAAGCGTAGCAGAGACTATTGAAAACTTAGCTCCAGGATCAAATTAATTTATTACAAAAGTTGGATTTATTGATGTTGAGTCCATTAGAGAAACACTGAAAAAATGTTCTCTCAGTTCTTGGTCCAGTTGATCGTATTTGCATAGGAGGGAGCAGGACCAAGGGCCAGAAAAGAAGGCTCATTTAGCTTGTCTTCAATATCCTTAACAAACCTTTTCATTTCCCTTTCTCTCTTTTCATTACTTTCTGGTGTTCCTCTGCTGAATATATTTGTTATCCTTTTGGCTGGACATTTGTTTTATTCAGCAGTGAATCACAACTATAAATCAAATATTGAGTAAAATACTGGAGACACAACTATGAAAAAGTCATGGACTACAGAAATCTGTAATCCAGTGCGAAAGCAGACAAGTGAACTTAATAATACTACTACTGCCATTTATAAAGTGATTACTACAGCACTATTTAATACTAATAATAACTCTATGAGGGAGTGCCACAATACTGTCAACATTTTACAGCAGAGCAAACTTAAGTTTAAAAAAGTTGAATGACTTAATCTGAGGTCAAATAGCTAGTAAATGGCAAAGCCAGAAGTCAAATTTTGCTCCATGTGACTCTCAACTAATATCCATCAACCTCTGGTATTTGAAGAATGTATTCTATTGTTTAAAATTGTTAGAGGCAATAACAATTTTTGAAAAATCAACAAATGGTATAATTAAAAATGGATTCCATCAGTGGAGAGCAGATGAACATATTCATGATTCAACCACAGTGATAATTTTGACAGCTATAAAGTTTTAAATTCTTAGTCAATCTTTTTTCAGTGGCTTATATAGAATGCAGATTTTTAAATATCTGAAATACTTCTGCAAATTACCCATCCTGTTCTTCAAATGATAGAATATTGCCTTTGTCTTCAAAATTTTATATAGCTTATATTAAGATGAATTTAATATTTCAATAATCAACATTAATGCAAAAATACAGTGAGTGATAATCTAATTTGTTTTTTTACTAATTAGGAATCAAGGAATGCATGCAAACAGCATCTTGAAACCTCTCATTTTATGCAAAGAACACAGCACGGACAAAGATATGGGGACATGGGATGACATAATGATAAGAGAATGTGTCCTTCAATATTGCCACAATGTTCGACATGGTGGGAAACTGCTAAGCCAAAGCCAGGTCACAGAGGGTCATGTGCACCAGGAAGAGGTCTCAGACTTAAAGCTGAGTTGGCTGACAGGCTGAATGTTTCTCAATCTGGTTAGAGAATCTGCAGGTATGGGTACAAAGATAGGTAGATAGATTGACTGACTGACTTACAGGTGAGATTGGCATTTTTGCCATACTATCCTGCCAACCTTGGGAAAAGTACAGTTCAAGAGATCAAGACGTGAAGCAGAAACTGCACTTGAGTCTACTGCAACAATGTGGATGACAAATGATGACGACTTGAATCAGGACAGAGGAAGTACAGAGGGGAAAGTAGGCCGAGCTTGAGTCATATTTTAGGAATAAAATAAGCAGACAGTGGAATGACTGAGATATCAAGCCAGCTCCTGAATATTCTAGTCTAAAAGCTGAAGACTGACACACAGATTTGAGAGCCACCAGCAAAATGTTAACTAAGATTTGAGATCACACAGCGAGAATGTGCAGTGTAAAGGAAAGAGGGAGCTGAGGATAGAGAACCAGTGAATGTACAGTTTAAGGGAGGAACAAGAAAGAGAATTCACAAAGGAACATGAAAAGAGAAAGGTGGAGAGGTTGCTGGAAGGGCAAGAAGGAAACTAGGGATTTAAAGCTTCCAACAGCCCTGGTAAAATTCACTGAAATAACAGCACACATACAAGTAAAGGAGAAATGGCTGTAATAACCTGAAGTCACTGGTGAAAAATGGCAATAGTGAAGGCTGTAGAAGATCAAAGTTGGTTGAGAATTCAATGGAAAGTGTAAATTTCTTCAAGAAGTCTAGTTTAGAAAAGAACAAAGTATTAGTAAACTAGAATGGTTATAGGATTCTTAGGTTCTTAAGCATACTCACAGTCTTTGGAGGAAATTAAGAAAGTTAAAGGCTAAAAGTAGAGCACATGGTAAAATTACTGGACCAGACCTCACAGGGAAATGGAGAGGATGAAACTAGGAGCAAATATGAAGGAAGAAAAATATATTATTCTTTTTGAGACCTAAGGACAGGAAGTAAATATGAGTACAAACAGGAAAGTACCTAAGCTGTTTTGAGGAAGAAGGTAGGATGGAATATGGAATATAGAAGAACATGGTTGCAGCTTCAATCATATGTACACAACAGGAGGAAAAGACTGATTAACAGTGACAGAATGGAAGACTGTGTTAAGAATTAGAAAAAGAAAGGAAAATGAGCTTTCCAGAACAGGCTTAATGATACCATGTTTCAAAAAGCCCACTAGTTGCAATAATAAAAACGAATCCATTATCCCTCCCTGAATTTAACTATCTAGGTTAAAGTATCCCGACAATGATTTATAACAATGGTTTGTGAGGAGAAAACAGGCATCATGTCCTTGACTACGGTCTGATGTGTGCCTTTTTTTCTGCCCACAGCTAGGTTATTTTTATGACATATCCAGATGACTGAGCTAAAGTTATTTTCCTACAGTTAGTTTTGGAATTTCATACTGAGATAGCATTAGAAGGACAGAGATCTCAGCAAACTAGGTAGGAGAATTCAGAATATATCTGTAACTTTTAACAGAGAACTCATTTCTGAAGAGTTTTATTGTATAAAATGCTGGCTTCTTTTGGCAAGGTTTGTGAAAACTGATTCTAACAAGGGCTCTACCAAAATGTCATAGACAGTACTTACCCATATCTTGGAGTTAAAAAATATCTCTCTCGTTATTTTTCTTTTAATTATATAATAAAAACAAATTTCAAGTATAAGACCTAACTGAAAAGATCAAAGCTATTATACTACTAGATAAAAAGTAGAATTTACCTTGAAAATTTCACTTTGAGAAGATGTTCCCCACTAATTCAACTTGCAAAATTATTCTAAATATGAAAAATCACAGAAGAATTTATTAAAGAGAAAAACCAAAAAACCTGAAGCGTCCAGTTGCTACTCAAAAGTCTGTGACTTTAAGGCTGCCATTAAAAATTTTAAAATAGGGCTGGCCAGTTAGCTCACCTGGTTACAGCATGGTGCTGATAACACCAAGGTCAAGGGTTCACATCCCCACACTGGCAAGCCCTGTAAATATATACTACTACCAAAGGTCTATTAAGAAAAATAAAAAGAGAAATAGAGTAGAATAGTGGTCACCAGAGGCAGGGAAAGGGTTGAGGCAAAGAAGGTTTGGGAAAGGTTGGTAGACTCATACAAAGTTACAAAGTTATAGTTACAATAGGAAGAATAAGTTCTGGTGCTCTACAGTGACAATAGCTAATAACATTGTATATTTCAAGACAGAACAGACAGAAAAGAGGATCTTGAATGTTATAACCACAAAGAAATGATAAATGTTTAGGTGACAGATATACTAACTATTCTGGTTAGAGCATTATACAATACATGCATGTATTGAAACAATACTGTACCACATAAACATGACGAAAAAATTCATAAAAATAATTTTAAAAACTGAATGACTGGAGAAGACTGAATTATCATGTATATGATTTCTGAACAACTGCCTTTTAAAAAATGTAGTAATGAAGAACTACAGTTTTAGGGAAACACCTCTTCAAAACAGATGTGTTGTTTATAATCAAGACTGTTTCTAATAATTATCTTTTGCATGGCATTTTACACTTTCTTTAGCATTTCTAAATACTTTATTTCACTTTTTCAGATAAATAGATAAAACTTATGTGATATGCCTGAGGTTAATGAATAGGGAGGAGGAGAGAGGAAATGAGGATGTCTAATCTTTAGGACTCAGGACTTCATATTTAGCTGGTCACGTTACCTCACTTTTCATTACTTCTGGAGAAAAGTAATTATAATTTTGCTAAGAAAAAGAACAATACTGGATTTGCTCAGGAATTGCATTTTGTCTAAATAGATAAACTAAGTAGAAATCTTCTGTCATTCTTAGTCTTCCAATGGAAGCACATG